TGGTAGGCATCTCAGCCCACTTGGGTGGGGGAATGCTGCTGGGAGGTTGGTGCCCTGCAGTGGCTTTAGTGCTAAAATTGATTTCAAATATCAAACTCAGCAGAAGGACTCTGAAACAAAGTTCTGGGAGATTTGGAATACTCTGACATGAATGAATCCCACCTAAAGCTACTAAGGAAATTTATTTTCACATGAATGAAAGGTTCTAGAAGCAGCAGGTATAATGAGAAATTAATGAATTAGTGATGTAAAATCTTGATTAATCAGTTAACTGGTTAAACATTAGGTTTCTCTAATGTTAAACCAGTTAACTGACTAATAGTAGGATCTGGACTGGGGACCGCTCCAGTCCCAACTGGCTACCCGGGACCAGAAAGCATTACCCATTTAGGGTGATGCCTACCGGTTAACCTTTCACATCCCTAGAATGACTATATCTGAGCTATTTCATATACATTGTACTTGTTTCTTAGTGATTGAAACCTGAATATATATTAATCTGGGTGTTTTAGGACATTTAGAGGAGATTTAGCTTGGCTGAAAGATTAAATCAACGGATATGAACAAGCATTCTGAGTTAGGTATTTTCTATGTGTTTGAAAAGTGAAACATTACAATGTTGTTATTGCTAGAAGGAATTGAGTATGGAATCTGAGTACAAACCTTGATTTATTTTCTTGAAGCTAGTAGTAGTTTGTATCTAGTACAGTATTCTGTGTCTGACAGTAGCTAATCTCAAATGCTTCAGAGGAAAGTACATAAACACCTGTAACTGCCAATAAAGAAACACAATTTCTCTTATGGGCAAGATTTCCTAACCCAAATGCATCTAGCAGTTTGCTTATGCTATGAAATAGGATGGATGTATATCCTATTTTCCATTCTATCTAATGTAAATGTTCTCATCCATCGAAATCGGAGGTTCTCAAACTTCATTGCACTGTAACGTTCTTCTGACAAAATAAAAACATTACACAAACCCAAAAGGGGAACCAAAGCCTGAACCCAGCTGCCCTGGGTGGCAGGACCAAATCCCAACCCTCACTGTCCCAGGCGGGAAGGCCAAAGCTGAAGCCCAAGGGCTTCATCGCTAGGCAGGGGGCCTGTAATTAGAGTCCTGCCACCAAGAGTTGAAGCCGTTGGGCCAGGGTTGTGTAAAATACAGCCCATGGGCTGGATCCGGCCCACAGATGCAGTGGGGATCCTCAGGAGACTCCCTGCTTGCCCCACCTGCCCCTGAATGCTACTCAGAAAAACATCTGCTGGGCTACTTGTGTTTCACAGCTGTGAGCCAGGGGAGAGGCTTCATTTGCTGCTCCCTCCCTCAGCACAATCCCATTGGCCAGTTTGAAAAACAGGCAGCGCACGAAGCACCCCTCCCCTTGGCTCTTATTCACCGATGAACATGGCCCCTGCAGCCTGTGCAGGGGTGGGGCAGCTGGGTGGCTGTCTGAGAAATGTGCTGGGCTGCTGGCTGGGAATCACCCTGATAAGTCTCCTGGACCCTGCAGCCTGTGCAGGGGTGGGGCAGCTGGGTGGCTGTCTGAGAAATGTGCTGGGCTGCTGGCTGGGAATCACCCTGATAAGTCTCCTGGACAAAGCCTGCCTCTGGCACTCCAGCCTCTCCCTACTCCCAATCCTTTGCCCACTTCTCTACCCCACATAAGCCAAAACCTCTGCCCCCTTCCTGAACCCATACCCCCTCACAGACCCTGCACCCCAATCCTCTTCCCCAACTCTGTACCCCTTCTCCCCCCCCTTCTTTCCCCCCCCGCACCGCAATCCCCTTCCCCAGATCACAACTCCCTCCTGCCCTAGGTTACAACCCAAACCTCTGTATCCCGGTCCCCTGCCCAAGGTCACAACCCCTTCCTGCCCTAGATTGTAACCCAAATCCCTGCATCCTAGTCCAGTGCCCCAGGTCACAACTATCTCCTTCACACAAACTCCCTCCCAGACTCCACATGCCCTTCTTCACCCCTGTCTCTTACCCCAAGCTCCCTTCTGCACCCAGCCTCCATCCCAGACCTCACACCTCCTCCATAAATATCATTGAAGAGTGTGGCTCTCGCCCAATTTCCAAAACTTTGGAGTGGCCCTTCCCCCCCATCAAAAAATATTGCCCACCTTGCCTTGGCCTTTGGTGTCAGTCATGGGTGATGGGGCTTAGGCTCTGGCTTTGATCTGGAGGCCCCAACAAGTCTGAGCTAGCCCTGGTAACCCCATTAGACTGGGGTCATGACCCACTTTACAGTTTGAACACCACTGATGTAAATGTATGTTGTTGCAGGGGGTTGTTAGTTTCTGGTTTTTGTCTTTAATTCTGCTAAGCGCTAGCTTCAGTGATATCTTGTGGCAATGAGTTTGATAGTAGAATTGTTTGGTGTTCTAAAAAATAAATTTTCTTATTAGTTTACTGCCTGGTTAAGTCTTTGGTGGGGTGAAAAATAAGGGAGACGGATATAGGCACATTTATAGATACCCCGATCCATGATTCTGGTTTACCTACATTTACTAGTTTTTCAGAGGTTTGTATCTGGTTATTTTTCCAAATATATTAATGATTATAGCTTTCAAGTATATTTCCATGACACATTTCAAAACTGAACCACTTTGGAGGAATAGGGAGGAGATATGGGGAGAAGGGAAGTCATAATTCTTTGAAGTGGGAAGTTTTATTTTTAAAGTTACTTGAAGTCTAGTTGCAACTTTAAAAATGCCATCAGTTTATGACTTTTAAAATTATCTTTTTTTTAGATTGCTCCAAAAATGTGACTTTCCCACTATGAAATTTTCACTTTATTTCTTGGCTTATGAAGACAAAAATGATATCCCAACAGATAAAAAAGAAAGAACAGCTTGGACTTTCTCTAGAAAGGCTACACTTGAACTAACACAGTAAGTGTTAACTCCAGATTTTTTTTATAGTTAATTTCTACTTACGTTTAATGGACACTAGTTACTATGAGCTTTGCACTATTAGTGCACTTGTGTTTTTTGTCTGATCATAAGTTGTGTACCGTTAATATAATGTAGAAAAATACTTTGTCTGATACCATAAAAAGTATGGGTTAGATACTGAACAAGAAGAACTCTGCTTTTTCTCAATATTTGTTAGCCCTAACATTGCATGAAAGAGAGGGGAAACAGCTTTTTCTTCAGGAACCAAATTGAAGGGGTCCAGTGTACTATGGAAACCGGTATCAGAGAACAGCTATGAAGTGGTTGTAGTGTACTGGATTGAGGACACAGCGGGAGTCAGATTTAGATTTTCTTTCTCTATATAACCTTTTTATTTCCTGTGGGACGACAGTGCTGTCATCACCTCACTCTGTGTCCTGCTTGGGTTTGAGCTGGGAGAGGGGAGGAGGCAATCTCGCTGCTTCCCCTTGCCACTTGGAATTACTATTTTAAACCAAGCCCCTACTTCCCTTCCTCCAACCTCACTCTACAGGGCTTTCAACAAAAGCCATGGCACACTAGCAGAGCTCACATCACAGCTGTGACAGCCCTGGGGTGGGGAGGGAGGTATGGTGCTTGGGACAGCAGCCTAGGGACAGGCGCTAGGAGTGGGGCTTCCAGCTGGGCTTACGAGCCAGCAGTTGGCTCTTGAGGGGTGAGGGGGCTCCCTGCTGCTGCCAGGCTTATGGGGATCTGGAGCACAGTGCTTGACTGCCTGGAGTCCAGCTGCCCCACAGAAACTTACCCCCTCCCCAGTGACTACACATACTGGGGCTGCCAGAGCACCCCTGAGCCACCCGGAGAAGCCATTGCATTTACCTGTCTGCTCCTTCCCTTCTGCTCCTGGTGGGTGGCCAGATGGTTCTGCCCCAGCCCTGCTCACAGAACCCAGTGAGCAGTGCTGGCGGGACTGCACGGAGAGGTTGGGACAGCAGTTGCTTTCCCTGGAGCGCCACGTGCACACCGCACTGCCTGTGCCCCACGCGGGGTGGGTAGGCACCTGTGCCTCCCCGGCTGCCAGAGTTACAGCCAAGCCTTGCACGTGCCGCTGTTGGGAGACGGGGAGATGGACCAGGCTGGTGGGGAAGGGAGGGAGACGGGACCTGGGCTGGCGCAATCACAGCCTGGCCCTCCCCGGTGGTTAGGGATGAGAGCCAGGGTTGCTTACCCCCTGCAAAAAGGAGGTTGGCAAGTGTAGCGAGCAGGGGCAGCACAGCCCCCTAGTATCCCTGATGCTGCTATTAATTCATTGTGTGACCTTAGAAAAGTCATTTAAGCTTTCACTGTGTAGAATATTGAGACTGTATGAAAAGTGATCTATAAGAGAGAGGTAACATTGCAAAAAAGCCAGTCATACATGTTGCTCTTTAATGTTTATCATGTAATACTACAGTGATGCGAAAATGTGCTTGGAGTTTCAATCATTATACAAAAAAAGCCAGTTGTCAGTGTACTACCATGTGTTTTGACCTGGTGTAGCTGGGGGTGCTTGGGGTGCTTGGAGCAAGCTTCAAAAGGGAGACCAGATACTTCCAACACTGTTGGGTAATGCCGAAGTTCGTCTTCCCAAGTCTGCTGGAAATTTCAGGGCAATCCACCCTGGCACCGTGCTTTGGGAACCCTTTAGGCCCAGGGTGGCCTGGCGGATTACCAGGGGATCTGCCACTGGCAGCAGGGGTTGGGGATGCTCACCAGCAGTGGCGGGAGCCACGGAAAGCAGAGTGAACAAGCTTCAGCCTGCTTCCTGGAGGTGGTGGGAGGCAGAGTAATCCTGCTTCAGCTCACTTCACTTCACTCCACTGCCTTAAGCCCAGCTCCCAGCCATGTTACTCAGGGGAGTGGGCTGGGGCCTGGTAGATCGCTTTCCACAACTGTGGTGAGTGGGGGTGTGGGTGTCAACCCCTGCTTCTGGTGCCAGGCCACCCCCAGTAATCCCCCAGGTCGTATTGCTTGGGAAAGGAGTGCAGTAAGGGTGCAGCAGGAGTGAGAAGAGGCAGGGTGGTGTCAGAGGAGGGGTTGGGCTTCGGGTAAGGGGTGGAGCTGAAGTGGGAAGAGGTGGTGTAGGTTGTCCCAGGCCCCACACCCTCCAGGGGACAGCCCTACCTAGCAGTACTGGCGAGCTTGCTGGCTTGAAAGTCCCTCTGGAACACATACACAATTTGGATGGGTCATTCAATCCTTAATTCAGAGCTTCTTGTAGAAAGAAAGGTTAGGAAGCAGGAATTAAGACAAAATGGAGAAGATGCAGGAAACCTTTGAGTTCTGTCGATAGGTATGCCTCTACCATGCCTGGCTGAGCCGTGAAGTGTATCCCCTGCCTTCTCTCAATGGGTCAGATACCTGATGGGCCATTGAGTACACGTGGCAATGCATTACCAAACTTTGTGGGTGTCACCCAGAAGCATAGCACAAGTTTAGTAATACAGACATATACATATCCACAACCCAAAATACAAAGGTTATAAAACGTAACAGATTAACATCTATGGTAGATTATAATTTTTGCATATACTTTACATGACATATTTGGAATAATTAATTTCTGTTTTACAATATTAATATTCATAATGTCCTCAAGTGTCCCCTGGACTCCATACATTTTGGAAACAATGTATCCTAAATGTTTTGACGTTAGGTGTTACGGTAACTTATGTAGTGCTAAGTATGCAAACTTCATAATACAAACATATTCTCACTCTTAGTGCTATTTCAGATCCCTCTTCCCTTCACACAAACTCAACAGCAGCAACCCTTCCTTCTCCTCTATATGAGGCTAGATCCTCGTTAGTGCTATTTCAGATCCCTCTTCCCTCCACACAAACTCAACAGCAGCATCCCTTCCTTCTCATCTATATGAGGTTAGATCCTCATCTCAACCCTCCCAGAGATGAGCTTTAATTCCTGAGAGGAGCAGAGTCTAGTCACTTCTACCGCCAGAGCAGTCATGGGGAAGCAAGCTGGGTTTAGTGTGCCTGCCTCTTGGTGTAGGTAATACACCTTCAGGGTCCCAGAACTGTTACTGCCAGCCTATGACATCACCAACAATTTGTAAACATATGCTAGAGAACTGATTTTACTCTGGGAAGGAGGATTGTAATGACTGAAAGAATGGCTGAGGGTACCTTAGGGTTGAATGGTGGAGAGAGGGCAGGGCAAAAGGGCCTTAATATATTTAAATGTACTTGTGGTGGACGAGTAAGAGACCTAATAACAGTGAAAATTGGGCTATTGAATAATAGGAAGCAATCAGGAATTCTATTTTAGTGAACCAGAAGAAAGAAAATGAAAATTAGAAGATAGAAACTTACAAAACATCCTGTAGCTTGTTCTTGAATTGAGCCAAAAGATTTGCAAATGAAAGAGCTGAATAATTGTATGCCCTCTTTATATTATTATTTCCCCATTTCTATCATTTGAATCACGTATTATGACTGTTTAACTCTTTGGTATAGGATCTGTCTCTTCATGTGTATTTGGATACACTTATACAATGGGGCTCCAACAGTGTAGTCTTAAAGTACAACAATAATATAGAATACTGTTTTGATACAAGTGTATGTATTCCTACCTGTTAGTTCATGTGTTGCACAAAATTCAAAAATATTATGTCGAATTTTAATATCTGAAAGCCATCTAAGTCTAACAAAGCATTGTGCAATTGGAGTACATGACCATGCTTGTCAGGATAATGATACAAGTAATGCCTCTGATGCAAGGTTTCCATCTCCATAATAAGTGCCTAGTTAGCTACATTTTATTATTAAAGACACATTTCAGATAAATAGTAGTTAGCTACATTTTATTATTAAAGACCTATTTATCTGAAATGTATCTTGTAGATGAGGCAAAACAGAACATTGTAAAATGTCACAATGAGCACATGGAAGTATACGCTATATCCTTCTGCAGATTACGATCACATTGCAAACACCAGGGAAATGCATACTGAGTTCCATCTATAGACACAGAGATGGATGAATTCAAAATGCAATATCCAAGTGCTGTAACTGTATCAGACCATTATCCCATGCATTATTCTATGAATGAGGACATCTGTCCCTGACCTGTAGGGATCTAGGCTGCTGTGTATTCTTTGCTGTGAGTAATTCAATCTATTTCTAAATATTCTTGGATTCTTTAAAAAACAAACAAACAAAAAACCAGCATGCTGCTCTTTAAGTATTAACTATGTCTCTCTTCCCTCCCCCCCTTCTCTTGTAGTAACTGGGGCACTGAAAATGATGATAATCAGTCTTACCACAATGGCAATTCAGACCCTCGCGGATTTGGTAAGCTTTAGATCAGTGGTCCCCAACCTTTCAAGGTTGCTGGGCGCCAGGGGGCGTGGCCATTCGCCCGTCGGGCGCCAGGGGGCGGGGCCATTCGCCCGCTGGGCGCCAGGGGGCGGGGACACTTGCCCGCCCTGCCTGGCGCGGGGGGGGTGGCCGTTCGCCTGCCGGGTGCCAGGGGGCGGGGACACTTGCGCCCTGGGGGCGGCCCCCCCCATAGCTGCATGCCCGGGGCCGGCGCTCCCCCCGCCCAGCGCCGCACGCCCGGGGCCAGGCCAGCCCTGAGCACCTGGTGGGCGCATGGAAATGCCCCCGCGGGCGCTGTGTTGGGGACCACGGCTTTAGATAAATTATGCCCTGCAGTCATTAAAAATCAGAGACTGAAAAGAAGATTAATAATTCTTTAGACAATTGAATTGAGAAAAAAGAGCAATAAATTAAGTATACAGGTTACTGGTACATTTTAAACACTGTTATAACTATGCAATAAAAATGCTAATAGTGACTCAGCATTGTTGATTAGATTAAATAAAAGTACAGGTTGGACCTCCATGGTCTAGCACCCTAGGGACTTGACTGGTCCTGAACAAGGGATTTTGCTGGACCTGGGGAGGTAATTTCTGCCACCCTCTACCCCTTCTCCACCAGTCCCCCTGGCTGGCTTCTGCCCCAAACATGGTTCGAGTTGGGCTTGTGGCTGCAGCAGGGTTGCCAGCTCTCCTGCTGCTGGCTCTCCCCCTGCTACACTCCTACCGCTGGCCCTCCACTGGGACTCTCTGGACCAGGAATCTTCTGGACCACAGATGTTGCCGGACCAAGGAGTCCTGGCACTGGGGAGTATGAGCTGGCTGGGAGTCCAGCAGTGGAGAACCCTGTCAGGATTTGTTGGGGACTCCTTCCCTGGGCAGCAGGGGTATCCGCCAGCCCTGTCCCTGAAGAGCCCCAACCAGGCAGCCCAACAGTGGGGCTGGTAAGCTTCATCCCTGGAGAGCCCTGCTGGGTCATGGCAGCAGTGGGACTCACTGGTGGCCCTATCTTGGGGAGCCCCAGCCTGCTCACTGTGCCTGACCAGAGTCAGTGGGGCTCGAGCAGAGCCAGCCACAGAGAGGGATAGCAGGCAGGGGACCGCCCCTGATCTGGCAAATTCCCCTCATTTGGGATGGGTCAGTTCCTGAGGGTCTAACCTGTACATCATCTCTGGGTACTCCCAGAGTTTAGACCTAGTTAGAGACGTGCTTGAGACTCAGTTGAAACTCAATGTGTAATTTATTAAACTATTTATTTATTTAAATATAAAGTTGAGTTTTGCTTAGACATAAGAGTGAGAGCATGATTTGTCCCTTGTGTGCAGAGAAATTCTGTGACTTCGTATTCTGAATGCCTGAAAGATCACTGGTTTAATTTTATCAAATACATGTTTCAGAGTAGACTTTTTGATTCCTGAACTGATCGCTGAACCTGGAAGGTCAGCTTAAGGTACACAACTCCAGCGATGTAAGATATGTAGCTGGAGTTGGCTTGCCTTAAGCAGAACTGAACCTGGAAGGTCAGCTTAAGGTACACAACTCCAGCGATGTAAGATATGTAGCTGGAGTTGGCTTGCCTTAAGCAGAACTTGGCACCGTCCCCACTGCAGGAGGCCAACGAGCAAATGCTCCGAGGAGTACAGACACCAGCTAGAGCTGTCCTCAGCATTTGATTTACAGGTCTATACTAGACCTAGTAAATCAAATGCCAGAATGTCGATGAGTGGAAAATGTGCCCTTAATGTTTAAATCACTATCCTATTTAATAAATACAGAAGACTTCCTGAAACTTGGTCTTACTGTTTTTATGAATGCTTTCTTCTCTGCCTTTTTACCTTTCAATTTAATCTTTCTTTCAATCTGGTTCTATTGTGTGTATGGCTATTTCACTAGAGTATTCTGTGAAACATTTTAAATTTTGCAACCCTCTCAAGTAACTGGTTTATTGAAGAAAGAAAAAGTCAAAAATAGTACCCTTAATACACTTTTTCCAGAAATGAAAGCAGGGCTTTCCTTGAGTAAATTGATTTTTAACACACTTTAGATGATCTAGCTAAATGTAACTTGGAAGCTCTTTGCATAGAGAAGTGCCTGTCATATTATTGTTAAAGCAACAAAATCCATTTGTTGTAATTTTTGCTCACATATGTGTTGTGTTCTTTGCCTCTGCTTAATGTTTGTTGTACAGGTCACATTGGAATTGCAGTCCCTGATGTATCTGCAGCTTGTAAGAGGTTTGAAGAGTTGGGAGTGAAATTTGTGAAGAGACCAGATGATGGTAAGTCTTAAAGTCATTTTATCATTTTTATATTTTGTTTCCTAAACTGTGAATTCATCTTTTTCATGTATGATATGGGGAGGAGGCTAGGTGATATTGGTAATATAAACTCGATTCCTTCTATCGTTCTGAATACTTTCTGCTACATCAATTCTAGATAATTGGGGCTGATTAAATTCCTGGCCCATTTTAGTCAATTTCATGGTCAGAGGATTTTTTAAATAGTCAGTTTCATGGTTTCTCATATTTATAGCTGAAATTTCATGGAGATGTAACCATGAAGATTCTGCCCCAAAAGGGAGTCATAAAGCTGTTAGAGAGTGGAAGGAGTGTTGTAAAATTGCCACACTTACTTCTGTTGCCATTGGAACTGAGCTCAGAATGCAGCAGCCAGGGGATGTACCTGGAGTTGTTGGATCTCCCCTCTACTGCTCCCTGTCCCCCATGTATATCCATGCAGGGAAAGTGGAATTCCTGTCCCTCCCCAGCCTGGCTGGAAATAGCAGCTGGAGGCTGGTGCATGGTAGGAGTCCCTGGCTGGAGCATCTCTAGCCCTGCCTCTCCCTTTCCTCTCTGAGAGGTCTGATTTCATGGTGTGTGATGTGTATCATCGGCATGAATCAGGTCTGTCCCTATCGATAATCTATCAATGTAACCAAAACTACAGACTGAACCAAATGTGGCTAAACTGTAGTCCTCTTTCTGGTCCGTCCATCCCCACCTTTTTACTGTTGAATTCAAAAAATTCAGAAAATTTATCATTACTAATTTTAGCTGTTGTGGTATAGAATAAAACCATTGAAGAGTTGGTGATTTGTTTCTGAATTGTATAATATTTTGCATTTCATGCAGTGGAGAAAGTTTTAAAATATTGTTCTGGGATCTATGTTGAGAGGGAATCTTGTTGAATAATGTGCTTTTTTTAAAAACTACATCAAAACAAATTTGACAGGGAATTAAGAAAAATCTGTATTATCGACCCCTCTGTATGAAGGAACCTCATAGCTGCAGTGGAGACCTCACTTTCCCTTGATAACTCTCTCCTATAAGTTGCTCCTGCCTTTCATGAAAAAGTTTGTCACAACAGTATCCTTCCAACAGGCGGGAAAATGGGTCCTTATATTGGAGCACTGATACACTCCAATTCAGGTAGGAAACCTCATAGAACACAGTTTTCAGTCATATTCCCACTTTCTGCTCACCATAGGAAGAAATAGACCTGCACCTATATTAGTGCTGCTTCAATATCACACACAGGGTACTTCTACACAGCAGGGCTAAAGCCGAAATAAGCTATACAACTTGAGCTATGTTAGTTGAGTACTCAAGTTGAAATAGCACCAAAAGCTGAAATAAGCTGTCTACACTGCAAAAAGTCTGAGTTAGAGCATTCTTCCTCTGTTCCCTTAATCCTTGTAAAATGAGGGTTACAGGAGTTGGAGTAAGAAGTCCTCCAGCTCAACGACATTTCAACATAATGTTGAAATAACTGCTTGCTGTGTAGATGTGGACTGTTATTTTGGAATAACGTCTGTGCAGAAGTTAGGACTCGTGAGTATCAACTTTTTAAACACCCTGATGGATTGTGTAGGAACAAGGTTATTTGTGTAGGAACAAGGTTATTTGTGGTCTCCTTTGAAATTCTTTTTTTTTTTTTTTTTTAGTTCAATTTCTCTGTCAAAGTAAATGGCAACTAACTGTCTTTGCTCAAAGTATAGAACATGCTGGCAATACTTAGCCCTCTCGTAGCAGCATCAATATCTGCTAACAAGGTGGGAAGTTTCAGTTAAGTGAGTGCTGCTGACTTGGGAGGCAGGTGACTCAATACTACCACCTGGACAGTTAGAAATGGGATAAGGGAGACTGTTGTCTTGACTAGAGTGGCAGGTTAGAGTGCAGTAAATCGGTTCCCAGCACAGTAACACTCATGAGATGTCTACACTGGCAATGTGTTTAGTTTGCACTAATTCCACAGTTGCTATGCTCTTGGTCAACCACCTCAACAAGAAGTGTAAGAGCTTTCTGTGCAGTGGATACAGCGCTGCAGTGCCAATGTAGATACTTCAGTTGTTTGCTGTATTATAATTGGCCTCCAGAAATGTCACAATCTTGCCAGTGGCCACTCTGCTCATTGTATTGAACTCTGTTGGCTGTCCTGCAGGCATGCACGAACCTCCTTTTTGGAGCTCTGTTTGAACAACCCGCATGACATGCTGATCCGCTCTGGGACACAGAGTGATCCATTCAGGTGGAATGCTTGTGCTATTGAACGCAGAGGCAGTGTCTTTGTGTGAGAGCAGGGAATAAAGATCTGTACAAAAAGCCATGGAGGAACACATGGAGGCTTATTTTGAGGGTTTCCCCCTTGCCCTGCTCAAGACAAGTTGTTTCTTACTGCTGTCTGAACTTACAAGACAGCATGCTGATATACCCCCCCCCCCAAAAAAAACCCCACTATGACCTTGTTGACATTGCCAAGTTTTGTCAATAAAACTTATGCTGACATTCAAAAGTAATCAAAGCAAACTGCTAGAGGGTGTTCACACTTGGTACCCCTAGTGTGGACATGGTGTGATGAAAGAGGGAACAACATTAATAACAATGCATTAGGGGTATATTTCTTGTTCTTCCTGCACTAGCAACACAGCACTAGGCAGACTGCTGCTGCAGGTGGAGGGGAACAGATCACTGTGCACCTTTGGCATTCCTCAGCTTTGAATCCTCAGAGGGTATGTCTACACTACCCTCCTATTTCGAAATAGGAGGGTAGTGTAGACATACCCTCTGAGGTTTCAAAGCTGAGGAATGCCAAAGGTGCACAGTGATCTGTTCCCCTCCACCTGCAGCAGCAGTCTGCCTAGTGCTGTGTTGCTAGTGCAGGAAGAACAGGAACATTCCAAACAGAGCCGCATACTAAGCTGTACTGTTGCAAGAGCGGATAATGTAGGTACATTTCGCTGTCATAAAGAGCACAGTATGGACACAAGACACTGGTTTTCCTGCAGCAGTCTGTGAGCAGTGCTGTAACTGCCAGTGCTTTACATCTGCCATTTAAACAAAACCTCTGGATGTGAGCTGAATAGTCCTCAGGAGGAAACTGTAGTATCAGCTAAGCCTGGGAAAAAGATGTGAGCTGAATGTTTTGAATTTTTTTTTAAACAAACAAAAGCACAGTAAAACAACACCCACCGGGAACAGACAGGCTATGTCTACACTGCAAGGTTTTTGTGCAAAACCCCATGGAGCGTCCACACCTCAAATGCGCTTTTGCGCAAGGAAATCAAGAATAAGATGGTAGAACAGAGGGCTTTTTCTGCCATAGGTAAACCTCCTTCTACGAGGCATAACTCTCTTTTGCGCAAGAGTTCTTGCACAAAAAGGAAAGTGTGGACGTTCCAGAGGGGTTTCTTGCGCAAGAAACCCCTATGGGGAAAAAGCACAGGTGCTCTGATGGCCATTCACAGAATGGCCATCAGAGCTTTCTTGCACAAGAGTGTCCATGCAGTGTGGACGCTCTATTGCGCAAAAGCACATTGATTTTGTGATGTGCTTTGAGGTGTGGATGTGCTTTTGTGCAAAAGGCTTCTTGCTCAAGAAGCATGTAGTGTAGATGTAGCCACAGTGTTTGAACTTCACATTCAGCTGATGACATAGTAATGTAGTAAAAAGCAATTTTGAAGTGGCAGTTTTATAAATTGGCTTCCAACTTTTGTAGTTAGGCTGAACTAGAACATACAAGGTTCTAGTGTCACTTCAGTCAGGTCAAGTATGATATAATGTGCAAACTTGCAGAAATATTATCCACCCCATAGTTTTAAAGCACAAGTTAATCATATAAACTGCTTCCATGACCTGTCTTTAAAAGTCTGAAATTGATCCTTGCTGTCAGTGATGAAACATGACCTTGAACCCGTTATTTGAATTGCCTGGTCTGTCTGCCATGTAAAGACAACAGGAAATCTTGATAGATAAATTGTATGTTTTTGTCCATGTAAAAATCTTAATCTTTAAAGGCTATTAAGATAGTTTTTAACTATATCTGTAAATATGTATCTTTCTATTGTAGGTAAAATGAAGGGACTTGCATTTATTCAGGATCCTGATGGCTACTGGATTGAAATTTTGAATCCTAACCACATGGTGACCCTCATCTAGGTTTACAGTAACTAACGATACAACAGGAAAATTCTCCAGGAGGCTGAAAACCAGTAGCATACTCTAATATTCATGAGACACATACTTAATTGTGAGGAATTAACCTTTTCCACAAGTAGTTCTTTAGCAATTCTTTTAGCACCTGATCTTGTTTGGATAAACCTTTGCATTCTTTAGCTTTCTTTTCTATGATGCCACTTCTTCCTGTTTCTAATTAGGAGAGCACAAGACCATCTGTGTTCTGAAAGTGCACTCATGCAGATTCATCATTTATGCAAACATTAGTTTATTCATCCATTCAGGACTGATTTGCGTTATTTAAATGTTGGCTGAGCATTATAACAATACTTTAACCAGCCTGAGACCTGGTATGATGGGGTGGAATATGTGAGTAGGAAGATAGCTGTATCTTAGGTCTACTACAGGATATTTTGTTTCTGTTAAATGTGGGGCGGGGATAAAACATGTATAACTAGTTTTTTGGGCCACATCTTGTTCTCATTAAAGTCAATGGCAAAATTGCAATTGAAGTCTAATGGAAGCAGGATTGGGACTGTGTGTGTAGTTATGTCACTAAACAGTAGACTTTCAGGAGCAGCTTAGAGGCATTCAAACTGCTTTGAGACTAGAAACTTAATGGCAGTGCCACATTGCAGGTTGAATTCTGTTGGACTCATTGCATTTGAGTACCTATGGCAGTTAGGCAGAGGAGGTCAGCAGACTTCTCACTTGCTTTCAAAAGTGAGACTCTAAGAGCTGAACACCTATCCTAAAAATCAAGGTGTTGAACAGCAACTAGCTTACAACTAAAGAGTAGCTGAAAATGCCATGATTCCCTATTGACTGGCTGAGAGCTGGCAGACACATCCCTTGTGTGTGATGTCTAAGCTTCTGCAAAATATAGTGCATTTGAAATGTTTTATATATCAAATTTCAGCTTGATATAAAAGTCTGGTTAATCAAATTCCCAATAGTTTGTGAAACAGTAACTATCTACAGTTACGACACAGCTGTCTTTCTTTAAAATATAAAAACTAGTGGTTGCAGTTATATTGAAGTTGTAAATAACAGGAGAACATGTCACATTTACAAATCCTGCATGTGAGCTAGTTTCATGGTTAAAGTTTCATTAACACTGAAATACTTTCCCTCACCTTTCAAATCAACAAAACCATCTTGGTATTTAGTGCATTTCTAGAAGCACCTTATAATTACAGTTGGCACTGAACAGCCCTCAATATTGTGACTACTAAATTGGATAGCCCTGTGGCGTCAAATAAAAGTATTTATTTCTAAATAAAGTGTCTGCAAAACTTTCAAAATCCTTCTCTAACGCTGTATGCCATATAGTATTTCACTACCTACTAAGGACATGTGTATACTACAAAATGTACTCCAGTTATGTTGTCAATCATCCATCACTGCTGTAACTAAACCATTTTTGCACATCCACACAATGCTGCTTGTTCTGGTGGAACACATCTACAGTTGTACTCTTACATTGAAAGAGAGCAGTGTGCTGTGGGTACCTATCCCAGTATGCATTAGCTGTCCCTGTGTTTTGAGAAGGGTTTACAGTATCCTCTGAAGACACGTACACCATCCCATGATGCTGTTTTCTGTCTCATCATTCTGTGGTCTTCTAAGTAAATTTTGGAAACTGTACATCTCAAAGCATAGAGCCTGCCCTGCTTTCCAGTATTATGATGAGCATTATGAACACACTGCAAGATCAGCTGCATTATTCAATGAGCTGCTAATCAGATAATGGCTCTGTGGTATCAGCCCTACTATGTGTCATGGAGAGAAACCATTCAAGATTGCTTTTTGGAACTCATGGAGCAGCTGCAAATGGTGGATTATCAGTTATGGTATGAGAAGCACTGAGTGGTGAAATCACATCATTATGCAGACTGGGATGATGAGCAGTGACTGTCGAACTTTTGGATCTGCAGAGACACCTTCTTGGAACTGTGTAGGGAGCTGCCCCTTGCTCTCTAGCACAAGGATACCAAAATGAGAGCTGGCCTAACTGGAGCAATGAATAGTGATTGCTGTGTAGAAGGTGGTAATTCTAGACTACTACCCATAACTGGCAAATCAGTTTGGAGTTGGGAGGTCCACTCTGGGGCTTCTAAGTATGCAAGGTCATTAATCACCTCCTGCTATGAAGCACTAGGACTCAGGGTAATGTGTGGGAAGTAGTGAATGACTCTGCTGTTTAGCCATGGTGATATTTTTTTGTTCCTCTTAACCCCAAATAATAATAATAATAAAAAGTATACATTGTTTGAGTTGGTGGCATTGGTTTATTAAAGTAGTTTCCATGAAGCTTGGGGAGGCATTTCACTACTGTGACTGTTCCATTTAACTAGCTTCCTATGTACATGATAAACTAGTTTCTTCATTTTATTTTTTTGTAGTTCCCGTTTTTGAAGTTAAATGCTATGGTGGCATTGGTATTTTCCCCTGCACAAGGATGTTACATATTAATGACATGATAGCCAAATACAAGCTGGATACTAGCTATGATCCCCTCCTAGACCATATTCTGTGCTCCATTTCACTTTAGAGCTAAATTAAAATGGGGGTCTCCCCTTGTGAGTTCCAGGATTAGCTGCTCCAAGCAGTCATTAATGGTGTCTAGAAATTTTATTTCTGCTAAGGATGTAAAATCCCATTTTTAAATAACTGGTTAAACATAATGTTTATCCAGTTAACTGATAAAAAAGGAGGGAGAGTGCGTGGGTGGGTGAGTTGTTCCAGTCTATCATTTGGCTTCCTCAGTGCATGCCCTCCCCTATCCTCCTGTACCCACTTCACCCCCTCTGCCATAGGCAGTGGCTGCTCTGTCCAGGCTGGAGCAGCCCCTGTCTGAGGCAGGCAGTAACCTTAACAGGTGAGGCTTACCAATTAACCATTCACATCCCTAATTTCTGCATCCTGTTGTGAGAAGACATACCCAGGCAATATGGGTATAATTGATCTCTGCCATTAATAGTGGATTTTCTGTTTTATATCCTCTGTAATCTCCCTAGGGACTTCAAATCACTGTCACCATATTGGTCATGTGGTGAGTTTATTCCTATTATACTTATTATTCAAGCATGGCAACTCCACCTATAGAGATTCTATGGTACAGTGCTTTTTCACATATATTGTCATTCCCCATCAGCATGACCTGCTGTGTTTCTACCATGTATAATGTACCTTGGATTTACCATGTTCTATTATCATTCCACCAAATTTCTATGATGCCTCATATCAATATTCTCATTTAATACTAAGTACTTAAGTTCATCTTAGTATTTGGATTTCTAGCATTTCTGTATAAGCACTTACAAAATTTGAATAATTTGTCTTCATGTGGTACAATTAAATGGGACTCTTTTTTTTCATTTCAATGTTTCTTTTCAGTCTACTTTATTAATTTCTGTCCTATTATCTCTATCATGATATAGAATAAACTCTAATAGATTATTCCCTTATGAATCTGTCCAAATTGTGTACTCCTTTGCACTGAGGGGCTTTCTAACCAGCCCAACTTTAAAAAATCCTCAATGACATTTCTCGTTTTACACAGAGCCAGAGTGCAGCTATTTTTTAATTGGAACCCATCCTACTTGGACAGGCTTTCTTTCTCTCCCCAGTTGCTAATAAACCAAAATCCCTCCGCCTAAAGTCATCATCTCATCCATTCATTGAGAGACCCCTTTATGTTAGGCCTAATTGGCCCTGAACATAAAACTGAAAGCACTTCAGACAATGTTACCGTAAAGTTCCTAGATTAGAATGATCTATTCAGACAATGTTACCGTAAAGTTCCTAGATTAAAATGATCTACAGTGCTGCAGTGGAGAAAAAGATAAATATGCTGCAGGCTCTGCAGCCTATTTACAGTGTATAGTGAAGAGCCTGCAGCCTGTAACCTCTCAGATTGATAGGGGTTACATGGTTAGCTTTTTCAACAAACGTTTACACCCCTACTTCTAGCCCTACACTTCTGTGATAGTAGACCACGGGCATGTCCCAAGAATGGCAACGTCTCGTCTTTGTTGCTACCTCACAACAATTTATCCAGCTTTGTGACTCCCCAGAAGCCAGGTGGGGAGGTGAGGGTCATCTTGGCACTTCCAGATGCATGGGGCAGCGAGGGAAAGCAGGAGATGTACCTCAGGCACTTAAGCAGACTGCCCCACACTAGGGTTGACAGGTATCTGGTTTTTGAACCAGACAGTCCAGTGTTTGAGCTTTCTGTTTGGGAAACAAATTGAGAAAATATAAATGCCCGGTATTTTCTAAATAAGATGTAATGTAGATTGTGATGTAATGTCAAGTGTCTGGTATTTTTGTTGAAACCATCTGGCATCTCCAGGGCAGGCCCACAACCAGGGCTGGATTAAGGGGGGCGGGGCTAGGCGGGCAGCTGCCTGGGGTGCCAACCTATGGGGGGCACGTGATGGTAGCTGTAACGGGCGCCGTGTTCCCAGCCCCTTAAAGCTGCCATCAGGCGCCGGGGGCCGCGTGGCACCCCTTACAACTGCTATCGGGTGTCGCTCGCCTGGGGCTACACCGCGCCCCTTAGGGCTGGATGGGGCCGCGCGCCGATGCACTGACCACAGAACG